CTTTCTTTCTTTCTTTCTTTCTTTCTTTCTTTCTTTCTTTCTTTCTTCTTTCTTTCTTTCTTTCTCTCTCTCTCTTTCTTTCTTTCTCTTCCTTTCTTGCTTCCTTCCTTCTTTCTTTCTTTTTAATTTTGTTTTGGCCACATGATGATTTTCTAGCTTATAAGATCTTCAACACCCACAACCATCCCCTGCACAGCTCTGCTGCTTGCAAGAAGGGGATCTTACTAGAGTCCAGTCCTCAGCACTTACTCCTGGGATGTCCCAAGAAATTGCCCGCACATCAGACATACAGCCTGGCACCTGCGCACACTTGCTTCTGGCTACCCTTCCACCTGCCTACATTTGTACCTGGCCATGCTTGCACCCCCATCCCCACACCCACACCTGCCCATTCTTACACCCACCCATCTAAGCCCTAATTCCTTGCTTTCCAATAGCCAGTTTTAAAAGTAAAGGCACGGACTCCCTTTTTTGGTCACTGCTCAGCACACACCACGTGGGATGTAAGGGTTCTTCTACTTTTGACTGCGCTGCATTCCTGTAGAAATTTCCCAGCCCTCATCTTTCCTGCTTCCTCCTCTTCTGTCCCTAGCCCTAGACCAGCTGTCCTTCTCATGTCTGAGGAGACTCTGGTTAGCATCTCAGCCCAAAGATACCACTTTTAGTCATTGCTTGGAGAATTCCTCCAGATCCCCAGACCCCACAGTCCACAGCCAGCTCCTTACCCACTCTCCGTCGAACTCTGGTGAGTGACCCAGATCCCTCGGCCACTAAAGTCCTGGTCCCCCACTTCTTCCTCCCAGGAGATGGTGCTGGCTCCCATACCCCACATCCCATCCTCCTTATGGGGACTCTCTACCTAGTGAGGTCTTTGCAGAATACAAAGCTGTCGAGGACAGCCATGCACTGCTCCACTTCGCCTTGCTGCTCTGTGGATGTATGACCTGTCAGCTGAGGCAGCCAGGCTCACCTCAGGGGGTTGCAGCAGCATCAAGCACAGGGGTAGGGCTCTGCAAAAGGCCCTTGGGTCAGTCGGTTTGGTTTCATTTGCAGAGGTCTCTCGTATTTCATTCTTTCACTGGAAAATGTAGTAAGTGCTCATAAATCTGCCATTCTACCCAAGAATTATATCTCCCAAGCTCATATCTGTGAAAAGCTCTACTCCCACACACCCACTGCTCTGTGCCCACTGCCCACCACCCCCACCCCAGAGACCATAATCTGGAATTTTGTATTTGGTATTCCCTTGTTAAAAAAAAAAAATCATTTCTTTCCTGCAGTTGACTGATTGTCAACTTGACAAGGTCTAGGATCACCTAGGAGACACACCTATGAGCATGTGGTGGTTTAAATGAGAAAGAGATGCCTTGAACATTTTGTCTCCACGTCCCGTTGGTTAGCTCTGCTCCATGCTTGTGATTGAGATGTGAGCTGTCTCCCTGCTCTGGCCACCATACCTACTGCTTGCTACCATGTTTTCCCACCGTCACGGACTCTGACCCTCTGGAACCGAAAGCTGAAATAAACTTTCTCCTATAAGTTGTTTTTGGTCACGTTGTTTTATCACAGCATCGGAAAAGTAACTAACACTTTGGCACATCTGAGAGAGTTTCTAGTGGAATCACTGAGGGGGGAAGATCTCCACTAACCTTAGGTAGCATTACCCTACACACTGAGCCAGAGAGACTGAAAAGGAGAAACTGAGCTGAACTCCAGCTTTTATTACTCTTTTATTACTCTCTGTTTCCTGGCTACCATGTGACCAGCCAAATTTCTGCCACCATCCCATCCCTTCCCACCATGATGGACTGTACCCCAAACTGTGAGTGTAAACAAACCCTTCCTTACTTCCTCCCCTCCTTCTTTCTTTCCTTTCTTCCTTAAGTTGCTTCATCAAGTATTTTGTCACAATAAGAGAAGTAGCTAATGCACCTGCCGTGCGTGTCCCGACGGCATTGACCCTCACCTGCCCAGAGCAGGGCCCACAGTAGCCCTGCCTCTCATCTCCACAGACCTCACAGGCCTGGTGTGCTGTATGCAGTCACATTGTTCCTGGTAAGCACAAGCCCAGGGAAGACTCGGGTTCACTGTTTACCTCCAGAGCATCATGCTCAAGCCAACCTGTCTCTGGACGTGACGGTCCATACACCTGTTCATCTCTGCCCTGTACAAACCTGAGTTTGAAACTCTTGTGTCCCTGGCACACAGGTTCCTATGGTACCCATTTTCCTCAGACACCATTATGCACAGCTTCTCACTGAAGTGTCTTGTACCCTTGGCCCCTAAGCACATGCCTAGTCACACTGTTCTTCATCTGAGCCCAGCTGGCTCTGACTTGCCATGCCCAGTCCCATGGTGAGGCAGAACTGTCCCCAGAGGTCTGGCCTGCTGCTCTAGTGGTCAGTCTGGACATTGGGGGGAACGTCCAGGGCTGAGGCTTTGCCTAGGATAGGCTTTGGGAGCTGGTGAAAAGAGCATAATGGATCTAAGATGTCATGCCAAAATGACCTGTTGGGGATATTGTGCTAGCTAAGCCAGGGCCTGGTACTTAACAAGACAAGTTCCCTTCTGGACCAAGGTAGGTTCATGCTGAGCCTACATAGCTCTACCCAGGAACAGAGACCCAGGTCTTATCAGCTGAGTACAAGCCTCTAGAGGAAACGGGGAGCTACTGCCTCAGAATAGCCATGTTCACCTCTGTGGTATGGCCTGGAGCCTGTGGCCTAACTATGAAGTCAAGTGCTGAATCACCCCAGGCTCTTTGTTCCTCAGGGTGAGTATATTCTTGATCTTGTGAGGTAGCGATGAAGATCCAAGAAAACTGTGCTGGCTCAGCTCTGCCCTCATCACTCATTGTCCAGAGAGGGGTAGGTACTAGGTAGCGTGTTTAGGGGAAGGGAGGGTTTGATGTAGGCTGAGTCTGGTGGCTTCTGACTTCTGGCCTCAGATGGAGCCCTGAGGAGGGGCAGTGCTGGAGGAATGGAGACTGAACCTGCCCTGAGGTGTGCCTGCCATAGCCCTTCTGAGTAGATGACTGTATCAACGGACAAAGAAGCTGATCCCAGAAACTTCTGCTCAGGTGTATTGGAGTCCCATGGTCTCATGTTAGACCACACCCACCAGTTACAGGGTACAGCCCAGGGTCCTACATGATGCCACACCAATGATCACTGCTTATGGGCTCCAGAGAGGGCAGAGACAGAGCTAGACCACACCGGTGGAAGGGATGCGAATCCTTTATTGGAGAGAGGCCAAGTACTCCCAGCCTGGTTGTCGGGTGCTCCCCCAGAGGTGGGGTGGGATTGGGGCAGTGGGCAGTTAGGACTCAGACTCGAACATCTTCTTCCGGCCCTCCATGCCAGACTTCTCCTCAATGTTCTTCCTCCAGTCACCCACGTCGCGCAGATCCCGCTCCTGAGGGTAGGACCAGAGAGAGGCCTCAGACCTACCCCAGTCTTCCCCAGACTACTCTGAATCAGTTGACTCTCTATGAATGGGACTGTGAGTGGGCTCTACTGTTTGGCCCTCCCCTGGGCCCCAACCTACCTTCTCAGTGTCTTCCTTCTTGACCTGCTTCAGGTTGGCTCTCAGGTCCATGCACACCTTGTGCTTGGAGCCCAGCAGTGCCTTCAGCATGGCATCAGCTGACATGCGCACCCTCCGCAGTGGGGGCCTCTTGAACTTGCCCCTCAGGTCAAATAGCTTCTGGTTCATATCTTCCAGCTGGGAGGAAGGAGCAGGAGGTTTAGGGACCTAGCAGCCCTCATATCCCTGACCTGGCCCTGTATCTTTGGCCTTACTTTCACATCACCCATAGCATCCCATATCAGCTGGCCTCACCCCCATATCACTTGGCTTCATCCCATGTCATCTGGCTCCACCTTCATATTGTCCCACCGCTATTTGTGACTCTTGAAGCCCCTGACTCCACCCCCATGCCATATATCACACCTCTCCACTGGCTCCTCCCTCTCACCTCCTTGCTGCTCTTCTGCACCTTCACCTCCATGTCATATTTCTCCTCCTCGGCCACATCGATCTTCGAATGCAGTTGTTTGCACAGTTCCTGGGTGGGCAAGCAGTGGGTAGGTGGCCACCCTGGCACCTGAAGACCACTGTCCCCTCCCAGTCCTGATCCACCAGGCTTGATCTACTGAAGAATAGGGGTAACAGGGCTTTGGGTGGTAAGTGGCAGGAAGGGACTACCTGCACTTCAGACATGGAGCCTGGGATATGCAGAGGTGGGCAGTGCTCTGACAGGTAGTTTTGCTTCTCAGATTCTCGGCGGCTTTCCTCTTTCTCCAGCTCTGTGGCCGCAATCTGGAGCATCACACTCTGAGAAACAGAATGGTGGGAGTGAGGGTCTGCAGCGAACTCCCACCCGCAGCTATGGAGCCCCAGCCCTCTGCAGCACCCCACCCCTACCTTCAGGTGCTGTCTCCGGGCCGTGATGGCCCTGTTGCGCTTCTGCAGAATAGGAGAGAGGAGTCAGAGTCAGGCCACTTCCAGAGTTCTGTCCTCCTTGGAGCCATCTGACTTGAGGCTCCCAAGGAGGCCATAGGACCACTGCCTAGGACCCTTTTGTTTTTTCCCCTACTCTAGGGCCTGCTTCAGAGACACATGCCTGTGGTCCTGACCTTTGCTTAGGTGGTACATAGGGATAGAGAGGATGATGGGATTGATTTGGGGATGAAGAGGGGGGCTCAAAAGCTGTGGTCAAGGGGAGCGCTGGGAGGTGAGTGGTGAACAGAAATCAGAAAAGAGAAGTGATTCCCTTGTTATTAGGCCCAAGTCACACTTCCCCCACCTCCTAAAATACCAGGCAGGCACTTCCTCTATCATGCTCTCTCTAGGGTAGCTCAGGGGTGGGGCACCTGAAGGCCTTGACAAGGGTGTTTCTGATCTAGCCTCAGGGAACCACTATAGTCTCAGAGGATACTCACCTCCTCACTGTCCCAGGAGGAAGAAGGAGGTGGGGGTGGGAGAGAAAAGAGAAGTTAGACTGGCTCATGGGGTAGAAACCTAGGGGTAGATGGGGCTGAAGGGGGGGGGTAGCCACAGAGATCAGGGAGATGTGATACGGGAGCCCTAGGAGGGGACCGCAGTAGGAGTCACACTGGGCGCCACTTACTCCCCCATCCTGAGATCCCGAGCTCTGGGCCTGTGGGGAGAGAGGTGAAGATGTCAGTGTCTGTCTTGCGTGAAGCCAAGCATGGAGACCTGTGCTCACTTCTGCTCCACCTCCAACTCAGACCTTCTCAGAGGGCAAGGATTTGGAGGACACCACACACCACCACCACCCCCAACCCTGAGGGTGAGAAGTAAGAGGAGAAAGTGTTCCCAAAATGTCCCAGGCGGGGACTGAGGAGCTGCAGCTGTCCCTGAGGGAGGGGTGAGGCTGGCCAGCACAGGTGCCAGAGTGAGCCTGTTATTTTTAACTCTTGCTCCTTTAGCTGGACATGTAAATACACTGAAGAAAGTGCTCTTCTGTGTGGCCTGGGGGCTCAGGTCCCCGCTTGCTTGACCTGAACATGCTCCTGCTTGTTTGTCCCCAGACTCAGAGCCTGTTTCTAGAAGCCTGTTGACGACCCCTGCCCCATCCTGGCAGCATTTGTTGCTTCTCCATCCTAGCTCTGTGGGAGACCCCAGAGAGAGCTGTTGCCAACAGACCCCAGACCCCCAAGCCCCTGCCCAGGGAAGTCCTCCTGTGAGCTAGCCTGAGTAGTGCCCTGTCCTCCAGCCTCAAGAAGATGGGCCAGGCCTCACCTAGGGTCTGTGCAGCAAGGCTGAGAGCGAGGTCAAGCCGGCAGCAGTGAGCTGGGCTGGTGGGTCAGGGGGAGGGGTATAAATGGCTTTCCCTGTGCCGGGCCCCTGCTCAGAAAGGGCATGGAGTCTCCTCAGACCAATGGGGGCACAGAGAGGAGGAGAGCCTCCCCACCTGCCCAGCCGCCTGGCCAGCCATCCCAGGCGCTGGCCTGTCCAAGAAGTCTTGGGGTGGAGGGGTTGGTTTGCTCTATTTATGTCTCAGTGACGCGTTCAAGATGCCACCCTTGTTCCTGCAAAAGCCCTTGGGACAGCAAGGGTAACCTTGCTTGTGGGTCTCCAAGGTACCCGGCTCAAGCATCCACTGAAGTCTTCCTCCAAGGGAAACCTGACCTCACCACATGTGGGCTGAACTGGAGTCACTGTCAAATGGCGTGGCCTTGTAGCTCAGTGCCCACCGTGGCCACTCACTGTCTGCTGGGTGCTCGTTCCTTGCTTGGGCCCCTGGGCTGACGGTTCACCTCATCAGTCCTACTGCAAAATTGGATACCCCCATCCCCAACTAAAACCAAAACAGTCTCCTGGGTCCTGTGTGGTAGTCGGGGCTTGGAAGAGTGGTGTGGACCTCTTGGAGTGAACTTGCCCTTCTGCCCAGGAAGAGAAGCAAATGGGCCCCCGGACCAGCAGCTGGGCCTCTCCCAGCCTGCCGCACACCCTACCCAGGGGTGCCTCTGCTCAGGCAACTTGGAACATGTCCTTCAACCTCAGAGAGTGGTGCCACCGCCCTAGGAACCTCTCTCTGACCTCTGGGGGCTCAGGGCCCTTGGTTGCCTAGGCAGGCCCTGCATTGCCTGGCTTACTTGGGCCAGGCCCTCGCCCCTTTCCCGCTCCTGAACCCCACCCAAAGACACCCAGATCATGGCTTGGCCCCAACCCTGCTGCTCTGGGGCCCCTGGGGATCAGAGGAGGTTGGAGCTGTTAAAGCCCGCCAGATGTGCTGGGATTAAGAGGTATATCACAGGCCAGGGCTGCGCGCCCCCAAAGGCCCCAGTGCAGCTTCCAAAGGCATCTACTGCCCCCTGCTGATAGTGCAGAGAACACTCTGTGCCATCATCCCTCATGGTGTTAGGGTCTCTTCCCCACGCTGTAGCTACCCACAACTTCCCCCACCCCCGCCCCATTGCCCTCTTTGTCCCAACAGGATCAGCTCTAGCCTCCTGCTCCTCTGACAATCCCAGCTGGCAGAGGGGATAGTGCCAAACTTCCAGGAGAAGACCTAAGAATCAGGCCTTGGCTCAGGACTGGCAAATCTGTTCAGAGAACTCTATCCCACCCTTGAGAGGACTGTGGTGCCAGAGTGTAGCCCACCTTGCATCTCCTCAAAGGGTTCCGTCAGGACACATGAGCGAGAAAGAGAAAGGCATTTATTACAGAGATCTGAAGAGCCTGCCCACAGCCCCATTTGGGAAAACTGAGACCTGTTTTTTTTTTTTTTTTTTTTTTTTTTTTAGGAGTGAAGCCTAGGTAGGGGAAGACGACGAGGCTGCAGGGCCAGAGCACGGTCCACTTCCCTGGGGGACTGCAGGTGGTGCCACTGGGCGATGGGCCGCCGAGCATGGGCCAACATGTCTGCCCAGTGCTGTAGGGGTTGGCCTGAAGCCCGGGGACCCAGCAACACCTTGCCCACAGGCTCAGCCCAGAGCTGTAGGCCACGGGCCCAGACAGCCAGCACCAGGTCCACATTCTGTAGACACAGAGGGGAGGAAAAGGTTGTCAGTTTGGCCTGGCACAACATCCCAGGCCACTCTGCCCTTCCTCCCAGCTCCCCACCTGGAGCTGGCTAAAGGGAACCAGGAAGCTGAAGGCCTCATTGAAGTATGGGGTAGTTGTGCCCTTCTTAGAGGATGTTTTCTTCTTCTTCCACTTTCTCTGGTTTAACATGAGCTGTACCTTCACGTAGGTCTCTGCATGGGCAAGAGAGTTCAAGAAGGGTGTCCCACACATACACATGGAACCAGTTCTCTGTCCACCCCAGTATAGCTCTCACCTCCAAGCCCTGGATCCAGGCCCCGAGCCTCCAGCACAACCACAGTCAGGCGGCCTGAGCTGGGCACGTAGCGCAGTGAGAAGCACAGCTCCCCCATTGGCTCAGGCTATGGGCAAAAAGACAGGGCTGCAGTTGGAAGGGCCCTCCTTGCCCTTGGAGATTTGGGCTCAGCAGGTACAGCACTCAGACCTTGGCCTTCCCCATGGTACAGGCAGAACCTGGGGCCCTATCAGCCAGGCTCACCTCAGTGGTACCTGGAGGGCCCAGCTGGTACCAGCTCTCCAGGACATGCTGAGGGTCCACAGTGCTCAGCGGTAGTTGGAGCTCCCCCAGTGGCTCGTGTTCTGAAAACCGCTTGAAGTCCAACAGCTGTACCTTCAGAGTGGCCCTGGGCAGCTCTGCGGGTGGGACCTGCAGGCAGGTCTATGAGCTCGGTCCTGCTGCCCTGGCTCCGGCCCACTCTACCTACCTGGGCTTGACTTACTAGGAAGGAGCACGTCTCTTCAAACATGGGACAGAGCGTCCCACGGTGCACCTTTGTCTCATGTCTTCTCCCAGCCTGGGTGGAAACACTGATTCGGGCATAGGGGTCTGCTGTGCCTTCTGTCTTCAGGTTTTCAGCCTGCCTCAGGCCCACCTTAATCTAGGGGGCCAGTGGTTTGGCTCAACCTGGGGGTCCTCTTCCCATGCTCCCCTCTACCTGGCACTTCATCCGTCATACTCTCCATCAACCTTGGAGCCTCTGGATCTGATGGGTGGGCCTTACCTCCTGGCTTCCAAAGTTATATTCCAGGGAGAGCAACAGTCGCCCCCACTGTTGAGCTCCCCCAGAGCAGGGCTCTAGGCAGTCCACATCTGGCTGGACCTGGTGGAGGATCAGACAAGCACGGTTGTGACCAATCACCAACCAGAGGCCTGGGCTCTCATAATACAGGTCACACCACCTATATTCTTCCATAATTGTCTAATCCACTGGAGCACTCACAGTGACTAGTTTTCTAGGAGCAGGAGGAGGAGCCCACAAAAGGGTTCATAACCCTAGCACAGCTCCTTGAGACCAGCCAGATCTGCCATCAACATAGCATGTTTGGTATTACCACCACTACTATTGTGGCTTCCAATGACCCATGGGCCAGCATCCGCCTGCTCCTTGAGTGCCTCCTCCCCCATCTCCCTTGTTCATCTCCTTCCTTTGCCAAGAAGGCCTGTCAGGGCTGCCCTAAGCTCTCTAGCCCGGATCTTGCATTGCCCTCCCTGGAGTGGGCCAGTACAGGATTGGGCACAGGTTGGTCCAGGTTTCTGCTCCTCACCAGGTGAGTAGTGGTGCTGCTTTGAGCGCTGCCCAGGCCCACAGCTTCTTTGTCTTTGGGTTGCTTCCTGGGTCGGCGGCGGTGGCAACAGCAGCAGATGACACAGATCAGACAGGAGACCAGGAGGACTCCAGCAGCGAGAATAACTATAAAGACTACCCAGCGGGGCCCTGGGCCGGGGGCACAGGCTGCTGAAATGCCTCTCTAGACAATCTGGGTCCCTTCTAGGCTGGACCATGCCCACACCACTCCTGGAGTTCCAACCACTCACAGGGGATCCTGGCAATGAGGTCTGGGATGAGACTGGGTTCAGTTGTGGCATCAATTGGGGCCAAGGTGCTGCGGGGGTCTGGGGCATACCCCATCTTTCTGCCCCTATTGGCTTGGAATCCAGGCCACTTGAGGGGTGGTCCTCTCACCTTCACCTGGCATCAGCCAGTATCGAGTCCACCCTAGGTAAGAAGGTAGCCTAGGGTGGCCAGGGGCAAGAATGCTAGTCAGGAAGTCAGGCAGAGAGAGAGGCTCTGAGCCTTGGCCAAAGCATTGACATAGTTGCCACAAGCCTGCCCTGTTGCCACTTTCCCCATTCCCCAACCCCCAAGCAGGCCAGGTCTGGGTAGCCATATCTGCTTTTCCTGGCCCTTGATCACGCGGATCCTCCAACCCATATTGCAGGCAGAGCGTTGCCCTCTTCCCTCCCCTGGGACTCAGAGGCCTTTTCTTATTTTTAGGGGTGTCTCTTTTCCTGAGGAGGACCCATCATAGCCCTCCTGTACTCCAAAGACCCACCATATTCTACAAGGTAGTCTAGTTCACTGTAGCCTCAGGCCCAAGAGCAGCTTGGGCCATGAGTTCATGTAGGAGGGAGCTGGAGGTGCAGGGCACGGGGCCACCGGTAGGTGGGCATGCGCTCCAGCAAGCCAAGGCTGAAGGAGCTTTGCTGGCACGGGCACCAGGCCAGTAGCGCCTGAGGATGAGGGCGAGGTGGGGGCAGGCAGGGGCAGGGCATAGCTGGGAGAGCCTGAACATTCCTCCACGCTGAATCAATGCCCGCCCAGACTTGCCTACCTGCCTGCTTGGCCACCCTTGGCACGGGAGTGGGAAGGAAGAGGCCATGAAGCTGCCTTGGCCTCTGTACCCTACCTGCCCGGGGCCTGCGGAGGGTGCACACCTGGCAAGCTGGCCTCTTCCACCATGAGCAGGAAGGGTGAGGCTCTCAGCTGGGGGCTGGGAACCACAGTGACTTCCTGAACTCAGATCCCTCTCCCCAGCTTCCCTAGGTGGCAGCTGCTGTCCAGAATTCAGTTTCTAAAACATGGGTCTAATCCCACTGTGCTGCAAGAGCCTGCCACCCCTCCTGTCATATCTAAGGCCAGACTGTATACAAGTTACTAGACAAGCCTGCCCGTACAGGAGTGACCAACTGGGTTAGATCTTCTTGCTCCTGTACTCTCAGTCTGGAGTCCCCAACAGGATTCCAAGGGATACCTCCCTCTGTGCCTCACTGCCTGGCAGGCTGGAGCAAGATAGCCACAGCTCAGAGAGCTCAGTACCATCCACCCCAGTTATTGGGGATAGCTGTAGGTCAGGAGGGGACCAGGTTCTGCCTCCCAGATCTCCCTTTAGGGGTCCTGCACGCATGGACCCATGATATTTCCAAGGGTGGCCTGAGGCTGGTGCTCTGAAGTTGGTATGACACTGGGGCAGAGGTGCTGAGGGTTGTTTTGTTGTTGTTGTTGTGTTTTTTTGTTTTGTTTTGTTTTGTTTTGTTTTTCACAAGCCATCATGATTGTGAAAGGAAGGCTTTCACAATCCTTCCTGACAGGAACCTGACAGGACTATAGTGCTAGGCTGAATACCCTCCTCAACTTTTGAAAATCCTCAATTTTTAGTGCCATATTTTAACTCATCTCCAGGCTAGTCCATAACTTGGTTTCAAGACCCGTCTGTAATTTGGTAAAGTGGAGATTTGGTGAGTCTCCTGAAGATGGAGAGGGTAATCTGCAGTCCTCAATACCCTCCCTTCCTATCCTCTAACTTCACTCTTGCCTCGTTTTCTGAAGGGCTCTGCTAGGCAGGAGCTCACAGACGACAGTCAGAGCGCCCCCAGTGGTCCCTGGAGGAATAGGCTGGTAGGAGCTGGAGCTGGGGTGTCGTTCTTCAAGGGTACCTAACAAAAGAGGGGTGAGGCTAGGCTCAGACAAATCTGACTCCCAGAGTGGAACTCAAAAAATACATTTGCCATTTGAAAATGGTGGGGCTTGTATGAATGTTGGAATTCAAGTAACATTGCGCTCTCTCTCTCTTTCTCTCTCTCCACATGTAACTTCCTTTCTGTGTCTTTCCTGGTTCGGGTCCTCCACCCCTTACCCTGAGAACAAGTGGCAGAGGGCCCAGAGATCCCAGAAGCCGTGACTTCTCTCTACATGTAGCTCAGGAGGATAGTATGTTGCTGACCCATGTCCTCAGGGGACTTCTGGCTGTCTGTAAGCTGGCTCTGGAGGATTATGGGGCCTCAGGAACACCATCTCTTAGTACTAGGGAGATTTTTCAAGGCCTGGAGAGATCAAGGTCCCTTAGGACCCCCAGGACCTCATGGTGGTAAGGGTGCAGGTCGAAATGCAGCCACCAGGTGGAGCCATTCTTCCCACTGGTTCCCACCTCCTAGCAGCATCAAGAAGCTTGCTGCTTCATGGACCGTGTGAGCAGTCTGTGCGGGGCAAACAAAAAAGAGGCTCTACAATGCTCCAGCCCTACCCTAGGGACTTGGCTATCTTTATTTATATGACCCGGGGCAGCACCCACCCCTGAGCAGCAGGCAGATCTTCCTGCTGACTTTGGAAGTCTGCCTTCTATGACTGTGAAGGGAGATTCTCGCAAGGGGCCAGCGCTGTTTGACCCAGGAAAGTGGGATGGGAGTCCCTGCTACACCCCCAAGCGCCCTCCCAGTGCCTTTGTGCATCCAGCTTTGTAATCCCTTCCAGGCCCTGCGTCTGACTCACACCTGGGTCGGAGGCCTGTATCCACCACCCCAGCCCACAGCCTTACTCTACTCACCATCTAAGGCTCGCTTCAGCCCTGCTTTCTCCAGGTATCCCTTCCAGGTCCCTCAAAACTACCCAGTCTTGTACTGGATGCCACCCAGGGCCCCCTTTAAGACAGAATCCATGCAAACCAGTGCTGGGGGCGCTTCTCTAAATTCCCTGGCAGCCCAGGGTCAGATATTTGTTTCTAGGTTAGACCAACTCCCTTCACCCTCAGCCTAACAAGACCCAGTGGTGTTTCACAGGCAGCAGGTTTCTGTACTCCCTTTCCCCAGAGAAGCAAAATACCCCAAGCCCAGGAACAATCCCTTCCTCACCTGAGGCCTACTGGGACTTCAGGCTTCCTGGGACCGGTGGGCTCTGGCCTTCTCGTTCAGACGCTAGCCACTGCGAGGCTGGTTGGTCCACTCTCGGGCAGCACCTGGAGCCCACAGCAGAGCCAGCTCCTGTTGCTAGTGATCAGATGAATCTTGGGGGGAGGGAAGGGTGTGGAGGCAGAGCTTTGGGGAGCCCCACCTCATGGCCAGAACTTCTGGCCCTCAGGAGCCAGGAAACTCCCTTGAGAAAAATGGTCTCCCCTCTCTGAGGCCCTAGAGCAGGTGTCTGGACTCCAGGCTATTTCAAAGGGTTCCTCAAGGCTGGGAGTCACCTCAAGCCACACCAAACTTTGTTTAAAAAAAAAAAAAAAAAGAGGGGGGTGATAGGCCTGCTGGGCTGACCTCTGTGCAGGCTCACACACCCAGAAGGCCTGAGTCACAACTGCTTGGTTGAAGAGTGTGCCTCCTGGCAATGCAGGCCTAGGGAACCAAGCACAAAGAGGGTGGAACTCTGTAGAGGAGCTGCCCGGTGCTGTGCAGCATTGTCCTGGGTCCACAAGGGCCTGACTGACTTTGTTGCCACCTTCAGAGAACGTTCTGGAGGCCTTCCCGACCTACTCCCTTGAGGTTCTAGCTTCCCAGGGAGTAAGCCCTCATCCTGATGTCCGAGGTTAGATTTTTAGCAATAACCTAACCTCAGTGTCTGTTCCATGAGTTCGGGTCCAACCAGGGTTGTAGTGCGAGGCCCTCCCTGTGCTCTGACCAGTTGGTCTGGTCTGGTCAGTCCACAGCCCCTTATCTGTGGCTGGCAGTCAGACACTGGAATGGTTGGTTAATGGTTAACATGACATGTATCACTAGCCCCAAGTCTCTGGGCTGGTCAGACAGGACTTTTTGAGGAAACTTCTACTAGAGGATGTTCTAGGACTTTTGCCTATGGGATGTGTACATCCATGCCACTCACAAGCGGCACCGGACACGTGGGCACGGATGTGAGATGGGTCCATCCCCTGTATGACTCAGGTGATGTGGCAGGGGCTTAGAAAGATCAGCGGGGCCGGTGGCCTGCCTGCAGGGATACCAAGGCGCCCTAGTAGTAAGCACTTGTACTTTGGGACCCACCAGGCCCCTGTGCAGCAGAGCTTCAGGCCCCCCAAGTAGCTCCCACCACCCGGCTGTGTAGGGGCTTTGTGCCTCTCCAGAATGAGGGCGCCTCCGTGGCGAGACGGCGTCTGAGGTTCTGAGGCAGGAAGGAGAAAACCAAACAGAGCTGGCAGCCCACGGCCAGGCCCGCGGCCCCCAGACGGCGGCTTGGCAGCCAGAAGCCCCGTGGAGACCCTGGCGGGGCTCCTGGACTCGGATGCTTCCTTTGAGGATGCCTGGAGAATGTTTGAGGTCAGAACACACGGCAGACGCTGGCGGGAGAGCCCAGAGCCTCTGGCAAGGAAGCAGGAGACGTGCTGGGATGGGACACGTGTTCCCTGAATGTACTGACCCCGCTGTGGGCCCTATCTCTCTAGGCACCCTTTCTACCTTGGTCCTGGGACGGCTAAAGATGGGTGCTCAACTTGTCCCAGACCTCTGTATGTAGTTTGCGTGTCCACTCAGGTTATCCAGGCCTTTCTCACCGAGGGAGGGTGCACTCCCAACACCCCGGCATCAGAACAAACACGAGCCTCATTGTGTAGGTACTTTTGGAAACTGAACCCCAACTTCTAAACATATGGGGAATCTGTACATTATTACTGGAGATCTAATAAAGCTATAGCCTGTCACTCAAGCACTGGAGAAAGCACACTGATCCGTCACCCCGGCGCCCAAGAAACACAGAACCTATCTCTCAACTACCCAGGGAGACCGAACCCCAACGTCCTAGAATCTAGAGAAATCATCCGAGCCTCTAGGGTATGGGCCTCCTGCCTGTGTTTTGGTATACGTTGTAGATGGTCCCTGCTACACCAGGATCTTGCACCCTACTTAAGCATGATGCTGTTACGCTGTGACTTCCTTGGATAGGACACACTGAGTTTTGAGACTCTATATCCAAGACCCCAGGGGTGTGAACTCTTATCTGTGCAGTGCCTGGGTGAGTCTTATCATCTCAGATATAGGTGGGGACACATGCTTCATCATGGTGGCCCTCACTCACTGGGTGGCTGAATGCATCTCCCAAAGGCTTGAGAGAACTGGAGTCCAGAGCCCCATCTATCGTACAGCTTGATTTGGGGGTATCTGTTCATGTAGGGAGACCATAAAACGGTGTCTTTACTCGTTATTTGCGAATACTTGAGGCACATGCCCCATCTACCCAGAAGTCTCTGCAGCTGGGTGACCTGTTCCCTGTTCATTTGGAAACAGGAGCCCCATTCTGTGGTCATCAGGGTCTTAAACAGCTTGTACCCCACTTGTTAGGCCTACTGAATCGCCTATTGACACAAGGTACATAGGCCTGCCTGCCAGGCCGGAGGCCCAGGGCCGGCGCCGCGTTCCTGTGGTTTTGGACATGCTGTTCCTGGGCATCACACTGCTGTGTGTGTCCTATTCACCCTTGTCTTAGCTCTCTGTGTGCCATTCATCGAGCTCTGGGCTGTCTGCCCTCCCTCAGCCGCCCAGGTGTCTGCACCCTGTACCTGTGCCCCATGAGCTGAGCCTGCTCAAGATCTGATCACTGCGTTCTGATCCCTGTACCCGTGGGTCTGAGTGTGTGGTACCTGTGCCCCATGAGCTGAGCATGGAGTCCCCACAGACTTGAGCTTCCCATCCACAATCTCTTCAGCATTTTCATCCTGGCCACCCCATGTCCTCTGAGTGGACAGTTGGACTTTACAGCCTTTGCCCAATCCCTCGCCTTGTAAAGCATAGTAGCAGCTTCTTTGTGTTCTTGAGACAGGGTCTCATGTAGCCCAGGCTGGCCTGAAATTCACCATGTAAGTTCTGATTCTCTGCCTTGACCTCCTGAGTGCTGGGATTACAGGCTACCAAGCCCAGTTTATACAATGATCTGGATCAACTCAGGGCCTCATGTATTGTAGGCAAGCACTGTATCCACTGAGTTTCATTCCATGACTTCTCTGGTAGAATTTGTGCCACACTTTCTTGGAGTTCTGATGTGGGTACTCTGCTCACCTAGGTCACTAGGCTGACCAGACTATGGAGGCCTGATACCTCTAGGTACCTTTCACTCTCAGCAGCACAATGGCTAGGTTCCAAGAGCCCCACTTTATGTGGCTCACTGTCTCCATGCTGCACCCCAGTCCTCTGCATAGGTACAGCTGGCACCCACCTCCAGGTGCCTATGTGCTGTGTATGGGTTCTCAGAGATCTGAGCATCTTTCATGCATCTCCGTAAGTATAGTGGGTCCATCCAAGGCTGGGAACAGCCCTGTCCCTTTGCCTACATAGCAGGAGACATGGCGACTGTGCCCTCCCTTGGGCTAAACAGAGAGTTTATGCTCCTGCTCCTGGCTAGCTGCACCCTGCAACATCTTCCTGGGAACCCTTGCTTTTCTGGGTGTCTGGCAGCCTGCCCTTCATTCCTCTAAACTGCTAGGTAGAAAAGACTTCAAGAATCACCCCACAGCTCCCCCGCCCCAGTTTCCAGGGTCTCAGCCAACCCTCCCCATCACCCAGGAGCTGTGCGCCAACCCAAGAGTGCTGGCTGATGCTGACATGCACCCCCCACTCCAAGGCCTCAGTCTTCCTCTTCATCATCGCCTGAGGTTTGGACAGCTTGTCCTCCTTCACCAGGGTCTTTGGCAGCCTAACACCCTACTGCCTGTCTCTCACGTAGGCCCACAACCCGAGGCAAGGGGCCCCGGTTGCTGTTCCAAGATCCACTGCGTCTTTGGATGTCCACTGCCCATTCATCACCAGCGGGCGTCACGGCCCGTGTGAGTCCATATCCCTCCTGGTCCCAGTCTCTATTCATGCATGGCGCCAGGTTGGCTGCTTCACCTTCTAGCATCAAGAGTTCCTGCTGTGGATTTCTGAGGACCCCACAACCAGCAGCATGTGGAAGATATGAACCCCACTGATGCAAGAACCTTTGTATCTTGTACCCCATAGCTGAATTCCACAGTGCTGTGCCTGAAACATACCAGTGTATAGGTGATATGACCTTTGAGGGGTCTGGAATCGGGGCACTGTTCCTTTTAACCCCTGTCTGAGCGCCTGAATTGAGTATGCCTGTGGATCTGAGAACTGAGGCGCACTCTTCCCTAGCCCACCAGGATTTGGGGGTGACATGTGTTCCTACCACTACCTCTTCCTAGACCTTACATAGGCCCACATCCCAGGTCGGAGCTCCCGGGTGGCCAGTTCCAAGCTCCAGTGCATCTTTGGATGTCCTAACCCATTCAGGGGTGTCTGGGCCCAGTGATCCCATTCATTCCTGTCTCAGGGCCTCTGTGCTCTATTCATGCATAGCTCTGGGCAGCCTGCACCCCATCCACCCCCATCTCACAGACAGTCTGTGCATTGTCGCCCCTCTTCCAGGAACAGCTGCCGGGCAGCCAGCAGGCACATTCCGGGGTTTGGCCTGAAGCCAATGCAAACCCTAGCTTTGCTGGCGCTAGCAGCAAGTGGGGCGCGGACTAACCAAGTGGTGGAGGGCAGGCATGGAGGGAGAGTGGAGACCCTCAGTTTGGGGGCATGTGATCAAAGGCTTCCCTAGACACATACTGTCCTCCACCCAAGGGAACATTGGGAAGCCAAAGCTAGCCTGGGACAGAGGCCTCCTGAACTGGCTGCCAGCAGGAGCAGCTGTATGCACAGGGTGGGAGGAAGAGCCCTCCACCACAGCCGCTATTTCCTGACCAGGCTCCCTCAGCTGCCCACCCACAGACATCCCACTGACAGACTCATCAGCATCAGCCTGGGCAAGGTCCCAGACTGGGGGTATGTGTGGAGGTGGGCAGAGATGAGCATGGGGTCTCATTTCTGTTGCTGTAGACTCAAGCCCCTCACCAAGCCTAAAGGGGGCTCCCAGTAGTAGGAGGGCCACTGGACAGTGGATTTATGGCTCCTGGGCCCTCTCAGACTCCTAACTCACTGCTCATCCTGTCTCCAGGCCAGTGGAGTCCAGAGAGGGAGAAGTAATTTCTTGGGGTCACATGAATATTGCCTGGTAGTCCAGAAGCCCCATGAATGAGGACCTGGCCTACTTTCCAGAGTCCTTGGTAGACAAACTTTGGTCACAGATCTCCAAGTGTGTATGAGCCATCCTTGTTGTCTGGGCTTTGTGGGCCTTCTTTGTTCTATGAGTGTGAGAACATCTGTGTTTGCTGGGTATAAGTGACCATCTATACTCTGTGCATGTGAGAGCTCATGCCTGTCTATCTAGATAACTCACTGGTTGGTGTCTCTGGGTGATG